TTCAGAATATGTACCCTGTAAACTCTCTAACTCTCTTTCTCTCTCTCTCTCTCTCTCTTTCTCACGCGTTCGCTCTCTTTCAAATGTATCCTTGAATGGTGGGTCTATCTGACGAGAACAAATTGTGTTGACTATATACGGAATCACTGGAAGTGATGAATTATTTTATTAATGAAGGCTTATGTTGCGAACACAAACATTGAAAAGACAGACTTCTCTTAGCATTCAACGATTATTGTCCATACTTCGACTTTAGAACTCTTTCACACACCATCATTTTTCTGATTATCATGCAGAGTCTGATGCCACATCCTTGCCACCTCTGTTCACCTGTATAAAACTCAGCAATTAAATGATGTCGCTATTGCTTGGTACGGTAAGTAAAGTTGAAGTCACCTTTAGTGACGCAGAATAAAAGACAAGTATTCTTTCTGCTCAATATCATCTCCTATCAAAGTAGGTAATCATCGCCTTCTACAGTCTCCTTATCTTTAATATGTTGAAATGGCTTTGACTTCTTAGGAAAGATAGCAGGGAGGTTTTTCTCTTGTCTTCAACACGGTTTTGAATTCAAAGTTTCCTTCAATTAAACTGTGCTACCCAAGGTTCAAGAGTTCAGTCTGCCCTGCTATTGAGCTCATATCTGTATGTGGTGAACAAGAGATATATTTATGTATTTTCCAATGACATTACTATGAAATAAGCGAGAACATGGTTTACTGATTCCGCTTTGGTAGCCATTATTCTACTCGCATATCTCCAGAAGACAGGTATTACGATTCAGATCAAGAAGGGATTGTTAGAGTATTTCTCGGATACAAATATGACCACGGAAAATAAATGGTGGCCAATCCACGCAGAGAACGATTCATTACAACCGTCTCCACATTAGAATAAACGGTGTCTAATGATGCACATTATTGTATATCGTAGCATCAAATCTATTTATTTTCATTTAACATAGAAAACAAGTATAAAAATACATGTTAAGATATTTGTTAAGTTTAGCAGAATTTAGAAAGGATGAGTTTAGTTTGTGCTAATCATCTTGGTAAAAATGAAGGGTTCAAATTCCGGTCGTCTGTCACGTGTATGTTGCGTTTTTATTTACAATTTTTATTTTAAAAAATGAAATAAAACAAGAATGCATATCATTTAAATGGTTACTTCTATTTCTTTGTATCGTGTTCCTTCAGTGATTATAGCTTTCTAAAGTTTCGTGACTTTTGTAGTTCTTATTAAAGTTTGTCTTTTTTCTATCTCTCCTAATCCCTGTACCGGCAACATTTTGCACAAACTCGTTAGGTTGGTTATGCACTGCTGCTCTTCCTCTTCCTCCTCCTCCTCCTCTTCTTCTTCTTCTTCTCGTTATTGTTATTGTTGTCGCTGCTGCTGTGTTCCTTCAGGACGTGGGCGATCATGGCTTTCTACAATTTCCTGTCTTTTGTAGTTCTTATTAAAGTTTGTCTTTTTGCTGTCTCTCCTAATCCCTGTTCTGACAACCTTTCACACAAACTCGTTAAGTTGGTTATGCACTGCTGCTGCTGCTGCTGCTCCCCTTCTTCCCTCCTCCTCCTCTTCTTCTTCCTCTTCTTCTTCTTCTTCGCGTTGTTGTTGTTGTTGTTGCTGTTGTTGTTGTTGCTGCTATGTTCCTTCAGACCGTGGGCGATCATGGCTTTCAATTTCCTGTCTTTTGTAGTTCTTATTAAAGTTTTTCTTTTTGCTATCTCTCCTAATCCCTGTTCTGCCAACTATTTACACTTGCTCGCTGGGTAAGATATGCGCTGTTTTCCTCTGTCTCTCTTGCCTTCAAAATCTTCTGTTCTAGACCTACTTTCTTCATTATGTGTTGTGTAGGAACCTACCACCCCTCTTGAAGATGAACTCGTCCACAAACAAGGACGTAAAATAGCGGCATGTCAAAAGACAGTGTAGAAGAAGTTCTGAGCTGAGTTAGTTATAGACTACTCAGGCGATATCTGTACCAACTTACCAACCGAATAAACCCCATTTTATTGTTACATGTTATTTGGCGTTTGTCTTTATTAACCCCAAATTAACATCATAACATTATGCATCCAAGAAATTTCATCTGTCTCTTTCTGAAGACTAAGTATAAGTGTTCTTTTTGTCTCCATTATGAATTGATGGCTTAAAAAATCAATTCTAGGTCGGTTGATATGAATTTCATTCTTTAAAATATGAAGAATATCAACTCAAATATATGGATTTATGTTATGAAATAATGAAGAATTACAAAATCCGACATTATTTCTTTTTAACCAGTTCAGGATAAATTATTTAACTTGGAACATATATTTGAGTTGATATCCTTCATATTTTAAAGAGTGCATTTAATATCAACCGACCCAGAAATCGAGAAGTCTTTACTAACAAAAAAGCATATGAAGAAATAAAGATTTCTTGGCCGGTTAACATTAATTTCACTGTTTTAATCAACATCGACTTCATTTCAAACACTTATACCCACTGAAAATAATGTTTCCTGTAAAATCTATGCCCCCCCCCCACCTACGAATCCTAGGCGTTAAATAGCATTGATTGGTAACCACTCTAAGAGAAGGACAACTTTGAATCCGTAAGAAGTTCTACTCAAACTGCTTTTGGTACAAAACAGTTACAATGTGTCCCTGGTGCTCCCCTGATCACCACAATCATAAACTCTTCAAATCCAGTCTCAACCGTTATCTATCCTACATATCCTCATAATATGCAGCCCTTGTCCTATCTCTAAATGCCCTTTCAACATCCTCGTTCTGTAATCCACTACCTTGAATGGTACTTAGGCCTTGTAATTGAACAATAGTAAAAAAAAAAAAAAAAAAAAATGATGATTAAAACTTTGTTCACTGTTAAAGTTCAGAAGGGATATATCTGTATTGTTGCCTGCTTAAAAGTTAAAATAAGGAAAGCTGTCATCCAGAGCCGTTTTCCTTGATTAAAGTTCTGCCTTGTAAAATCTGTGATACCGATCGAATTATAATTTTATTTGAAAACACGAGCTCATAATCCTTTTATCATTCGCCGTCCATATTATAAATTGGGAGTGGCCAAACCTGCTTAATATAAGAGCCGCATACAATAAAATTCATATGCTTGAGAGCCGCAAGAGATGAAAAAAGTTACATACGTTTTTGTTAACATTAACATTAAAATTACGTATGGAGTGGTTTCATCTTTGTATAGTTTATTTCTTAAGCAGAACAATAGCCTTGGGGATTAACGCGTTGCTTATTGAATTTAGTCGTATAGAAATTGTGAGTTCAATCCCTAAGCTGCATAGTGCGGATGACTATTCAGTCTCAGCAGAAACATAACTAGCAATAACTGAATCGCGTAAAAAAAACACCCAACATCTGATATAGGGGCAGCAGAATAGGAATAATCTACCCCTTAAAGAGCTCAGTTTAGTTCGTAATTCCATCGACCGATACTTGAAGAAAGCCGGAGTGCACAGCAATCGAAACGTTGTGATAGTAAGAAAAAGATCTAGACATTAAATTAACTGTGAATCAGTGTAACTTAGTCTAACTCAAAGCTACAATAATTGATCACCTTTGAGAATCGATCTAGTAGATTAATCTTGGAAATTAACTTCCAAATCATCTTGCCATTGCAGGCGCCCCCAAAAGTCATTATCTGGATTAGGGTAATTTAGCACAAGGATACAACAGATAGGTACCAACGAGTTCGAACCATCTACAATACATTGTTCTGCTAGACTAGCTTGCTAATAATTGTACTAGAGTAGTCATCCTAACTCCAGTCGCCTCTTTAATCTTTTCCTGAGTTTAAACGCCATATAAAACCTACTCTCCACTCGCCGTTACTTCGAGCCTCGAATAACCATTTGCCTGTTTATAGTACAGACCGTATCAGTGCACATCCTACTGTTTAAATTTATTGCTCGAGCCTACAGACATCAGGCAACCCTAATGTGACCCGGGTCTCAGAGACAAATAGTTTAGTCTTCAAATGACACACGCTCAGATCTGGTTACGGCTCGCCGTAGCGTTAATGTAAACTTCCACAACGGCAGATTAAGTTAATTCATGAAAATGTTCCAGACTCAGTTATTTTTACAACTGTAGTTTTTTTCATGTATTTATTTAAACGTTATTTTTGAAATGGATACTCATATTTGAGTAGATACTCCGTTTTTGTTTATTTATTAAACGGTAAATTTATTTATTTATTTATTTACTGGCTTGAATATTCGAGAAATTTTGTTAGAAAAATATATTTTTCTAACAAAATTTCTCGAATATAAGTAACCATTACAAAAATAACGTTTAAACAAATACTTTCCATGGTAGTCGCGATAAATCCCACCTGTGAGAAGAGGGGTTGGGCGGGGGGTTGTAATAATTTGTCACCCATAACGACTCGGAGACGTTTTTGGATTCTTTCGAATCTTATCGAGAGCTTATAATCTATTTCCGATCCAAGATGTCTATTCATCAACGGTCTGTGTAGAGTTTTGATGAAAAGCAATTAAAAAAAAAAAAGAATATCAAAGTAAATACTAGTCAAAATTATAAGGATAATAATCGCATCAATATTTAGATAGTCGAAGTAATGAACAATATAAAGACTATGAACTTATACGCTCTATATTTACAATTAGTCGGTAGTATATAGAATCGTGTCAATTAATTTAGGGAGACACGTATATTGCTTTAAGATAGAAATTTCTGAATTTCATTTTTATATACTTTATACCAAACCTTTTTGAGTTAATGTTCTCTTGGTTCCCAGGTCACCTCCCTAAAGTCATTCTTTCACACACATATCCAAAGTCCACAAACCTCTTTTTTGGTATTTGGTCGACTGAACATTTAAGACAATAATCTGACAATATATAGAACAAAGAAATAGTAAATGAATTTGTATCTTCGTATTCCATTTGGAAGAAGGAAGTTCCACTCAGACAGCTTCTTTCCAAGAACCGCTACTTTATGCAACAGGACTTACTGCTATATCATATTGAAACACCGGTTCTCACAAGATCACCAAAGTTAAGCAACGTTGAGGTTGAGCCTGTTTAGTACCTATATAGGTGACTGCTTGGGAATACCAGGTGCTGCAGGCTTGTGTGTGCGTTGGGTGTAATGGATATCGGTTCTGAATGAGAAATCGCAGAGTCGAGTTCGAATTCCACTCGGGTTCTTTATATTTACTTACGCGCATATACCCTTGAGAAATGTATGAATAGTTTTCTTCTCCCGACAACTATGGGTTAAATAGTACGACTTTTATCAGTAAATCATTATTATTTCCAAAAAAGTATTACAATCTAAAAATATTTTGTTTGAAATAACCTGCAAGAGGTTGATAAGCCATAAAACACCACTCAATCAATCAATTCATGAAACAGATTCCTGTGTGAATGCTTACCCAAACAGCAATAATTCTAACCTCTTCAAGGCTAGGGACAATCGTTATTTATCCTCCATATTCTCATAATCCTCACTTCCTACTTTTTCCACTCATGTCCGTATGACACATCTCGTTCACTATACCTCTAGCTCGAGAGGCTCTTACTGAGTGAACATTATTAAAAAAATAAATGAATAAATTGTCATAGTTTAAATAGGAGGGATTTGTTAGTTGCAGAAATAGCGACATCAGACTGGGAGGTACGAAGAAAAACAAGTTGTTTTTCCTTTTCTTTTTGGGGGGGGGTTTGTTTTGTCTTTGCTTAAAAAGAAACTAGGCAACTGTACTAAAGACTCGCTCTACTAAATATGATGCCGGGAAAGCAATAAAGTACATACTTAGTTTCATAGTGCAGAGAAGCGGTCAGGAATGATTTAGTAACTAAAAAATCCTGATATGATTTTTTTGAATGTTAAGTGGTTATGTTTCAGACTTTGTCAAAGATTTTCTAATTTATATATATATATATATATATATATATATATATATATATATATATATATATATATATAATGTTTTCCTTGATGCCACCATGCTGTCCCCACTACCGCCTTCTTTTATCTCACTGGCTGCTTGGATCTTTCCGGGGTGATGCGGTACCGCCCACTTTGGGAATGCCTGCCGTAAACCAGACACATATTAAGCATTATTTTAGCAATTTTAATTGCTAAATATTTTAATGCAAAAGATTTATGCACCGTACTGTGGGTGTGCGTGTGATGTGTCTTCAATTCTAATTTGGTTAAATAGCTGAGAGATGCTCTAGTTATCTACAATTCTTATTAAATAAAAAAAAATCTGCTCAAAGAAATAAAAAAAACCCTAATAAACGAATGAAAACTAATACATAATAAAATAACCTGAAATTTTAGTATATATATATATATATATATATATATATATATATATATATATATATATATATATATTTCATTAAATAATATAGACAAGTTGAGTCTATATGCAGTATCACGCCCTCAAGACCTCGACGCAATTACCAGGTTGAGTGAATAGTTCTTTTGTATTTTCACTGATGATTTTTGCCAGCTTAGAAGATCCAGAAACTCTCAACCAACGTGTGCCAAAAAACTGGTTCAGACGTTTCAAGGAAAGTCACACCAGCCTTGAACATATAACAAGTTTAAGAATACCTTCTGTTGTAGCCGGATATGCAATATAACTGGCCCTGCTCTGGCATCTCGTCTACAGTCACTTTCTCACAGACGCGCCGTCGCCTCTCTCTGTCTGTTTTACAAATACTTTCATGGCAATTGCTCCGAGGAGCTGCATTCGCTGGTTCCCAGACATCATGAGTTCAAGCGCCCTACGAGGCTGGCATCCCGCTTTCACCCCTTCACTGTCAAAACTCCTAGATGTAGCCGTCTCTTCTACTCCAATAGCTTCATGTCACGTACCTCTCACCTGTGGAACTCCCTTCCCTATTCCAGTTTCCCTGAGAGCTATTCAGCTATTCAAGTGTAATGTCAATCGACATCTCCAGTTGCCTTGATCTATCCACTACCCTTCTCCTCATCCTTTCTTCTATCACTCCTATCTGATCTTGCTCTAAATTTTCTGTAACCCCTTGCGTCCTAGTGGCTTCCCGCCTTGCTTGGGGTGAAACGCTTAAAAAAAAAAAATGAGGCCTTGCTTGAAATTTGTCTTTCACAAAGCATCATCAGTCAACATCTCCCTAAGCTCGGCCTTGTGAACAGATGACGTCGAGGAGTTCCTCATGAACTCACCAAAGTCTAGACACAACGACATGTGAAGATTTGTAAACAGCTGCTCAATCCTCAAGATGTCCATTTTTGGCGTCGAATTGTAAATGAGGATAAAAAAAATGGATCTGTTTTCGAAATCCTAATAAAATAAATCAGTGGCTTCGTTTTAGTTAGGCTTCAGAATCTGTTGTCAAAAAATTGTGATTTTAAGAGATCATGTTGTGTGTTTGGTGAAAATTTACACTTTCATCTTGTTGCAGATGGTTACACTGTGAACGCCGACCTTTATACTCATCAAACGTAGCGAGTATATGATTCCCAGCATTGGTCAATCGAAGACACGCACTCCCACAACATGACGGTACCCCCAGCACATACTACCAATGTCACCAAGCACAAACATGTGGAACGTAAGGGACTGGAAATTGCTTCCTTATTCTGCATCTAGTCCAATCTTTGCACCATCAGATTACTACATTTTCCAAGCCATGGTCCATTTTCTACTCGGACAATGGTTTAACCATATAGATGAAGTTGAAAACGGATGCAGGAAGTTTTTTTCCCCCTAAACCAGCCAAATGTTATAATTGATTTGTTGTTCAATATCGGTCCTCCTATATGGCATTGGATGTTGGAAAATCTCCTCACAAATGAAGAAGAAATTTGAGGAAACGGAGATGAGGTTCTACAGAAGGATGCTGAGAATATCAGGGACTGAACCTGTGAGCAACGACGAAATTTTAGGGAAAACGGAAACAAAAAAGACATCTATACTTAGAATGGAAAAAGAACAACTGAAATTTTAGGGCACATGTGAATTGAAGACCTGGGGAATTTGACACGCCCAGGGACATAGTGAAAGCAAAAGGGACAGAGGAAAGCAGCAAATAACCTACTCAAAAAAGCATGGTACGGATTAGGAATGAGAGCAAAAAAAACTTACTAAGAGATACAAAGAGCAGGAAGTTGTGAAGAGCTATGTTCGACCACTTCCTGAAGGGTTACAGCACATTGAAGAATATTGATTGATTTTTACGGCCTATTAACACATTGTGACTTATTTAAAGTCGAAATATATTTTGGATTATAAGAATATTTTTACAAGTGAATATAGAATTTACAACCGTTTGAGAAGAACAATTAATTTTACAGATACAAGTTCTACGATTTAACCCATAGATTAGGAAGGATAGAATTCATACATTTTCCAACGGTATTTGTGCGTAAGTGTTTTATTCCTTATTTTCTGTTTAAGATTGGATTTCTGGTTCCTTCTAAAGACTACTAAAACTCTTTATACTTCTAGCATTTCCACCCAAACTCTGAAATTCCTCATTAGGAGTAGATAGGTTCGCCTATCGTCCGGTTCACGCTCCTCCGTAGTATTTTGAGCAGTAGTAGAGGTTTATCCCTTGTTTCCTGTTTAAGATTGGATTTCTGGTTACTTCTAATGTTTTTTTTTTCATTCTCTTTCACTCCCAGTAGCTTCTTGCACCTTAGTGGCATTAACGCCTTATTTGGGGTGAATTCGAACACGGCTCTCTAATTTCTCATTCTGTGCCGCTATCTATTACACCAGTCGCACATTCACCGTAAGAAGAAGAATGTTGCTTGAAGGAAGATTCTTACATAATTCGGGAAAGTGGTTGCTTTTTAAAGTTGTTTTGATTGGCAATCTGAATAAAAGTTGTCTTGAATGGCCACTCTTCTTGATCTGTTTGCATTAATGCAGGCGTTTCCCCAGGGTTCTATCGTTAAATCTACGTTGTTTTTGGTTTTCATAAATGACCTTCTTGATGCTATCAGTTCTCAAAAGGGTATATATGCTGATGACAAAACTATTTAATCCTGTCTTAATAGTAAGCCTGATCAGTTCGATAAGGTCAAAATGGCATCTGATCTAAAAAGAAAATAACCTACAGTCTGTTGTTCAAGGGGGCAAGGCGTGGCTTGTTAATTTTAACGCCTCAGAAAGAAAACTGCTCTCTTTTAATCATCTGAGAGAACTCTTTTTACCTTCCATTACTGATGATAACTTCCAGGAGAGTAATACGTTCCTCCTTCTCGGACAAACGTCTTCAGCTGACATGAAGTGGAAAGAGTTTACTGAATCAATTGCTAAAGTTAATTCTTCTCGCCCAAACCTACCTTACATATATAAGTCTACTATTCATCTTTGCTTTGAATATTGCTGCCACATCTAGTCTGGGGCTCCTGTTATATATTTACAGATTCTTGACAAAATCCAAAAATGAATCTGCAATGTTACTGGTGCTGATCTGGTATCTCGGCTTCAGTCACTTTCCTGCTGTCGTAACGTAGCTTCCCTGTGCCTCTTCTATAAGTATTTTCATGGTAATGAACTTTCCACTGTGGTACCTAGACTTTATGAATTTAAACGCAGTATTAGATGGACAACATCGTCTCAACATTTTACAGTTGAAAATGGCTAGATGTAATCATAAATTTTATGCTAACAGTTTTTTTCTATCGCACTTCTCGCTTGTGGAACTCTCACCCGGCTTCTAGCTTCTCAGTCAAATTTGATCTTCAGAATTTTAAATGCAGTGTCAATGGTTATCTTCTGTCTTCTTAATTCTTGTTCTTTTATTGTCTTCTATCCTTAATTGTAGTTTTTTTTCATATTTTCTAGTAATCCCTTGCAACCTAGTGGCTTTATTGACTTATTTGGGGTGAGATGATTAAAAAGAAAATTGTGTTATATTTTAGACAAAGTAATAAATTTCTCCTAACTGTAGTAATTTTTTCTTACTTTTTCTTTCTATACGTACTCTGTTTATATTTTCCCAGTCAATTTGCAAACGATTGGATAGATGTAAATCTTGTTTAGTAAGTTTAACTTGACACAACACAAAGCAACATATGAAGCAATAGGATAGCGATGCACAACTCTTGTAGATGAGCAGT